TCATTAATTCCCTGCATTAAAATAATACGCATTTCTCTTCTATTCCATAATCTATGCCTTGAACCCTTGTGAATTTAACGTTCTTACTCCTTTCAGCTCGCCCTGCCAATGTGGCGATTCCGTTGCCGGGCTCTTTCGATATTCATCACAGTCTTCACCGTGTGCTCCATTGGATTTTTCTTCTGGGGTAAAATCGAAGGAGAGAGAACATTGAAGAAGGAAAAGAAGGTTAGGCAATCCACCTTGACTATTATTTCCCAGAACTCGGTGGTTGATCGAATGTCTAAATCTAAACCCGAAAATTCTTACCGACGGTACATTGAAAAACTGGCGAAACATTCAAATCAGCCTGAACTCAGTATGGTATGGGGCACATCACTGATTGATTTTTCTTTTTTTTCTTTGATTCTTGGCAAGGAAAACTTTTCTGGACGTATGTAGTCATTCTTCTTGAACGGACACATTATTACGTAAGCCCAAAATTCTATCAAAATCACAACAAAAGGGAAAAACGAAAGCAAATGATGTATGAGGTGGGATAGCACAAGCTTCAGCGAAAAAATTTGGTTTTAAAAAACTACCACGATATAGCGGTCAGTCGGAAAAGTAAAATTTTATGAAGGCTCGTTGGAAGGTTCAATAGTGGAATGCAGAGAAGAGGTCAGGACTAAGTATAGGGTACATTACTGACTTTTCGGCGTAATGTGACTCGGGGAGGGGTATTTTCTGAAAAGTCTCTAGGACTAAGCCTAGGCAGCAGGACGAACTCCGAAGAATACGAAAATTGCTTCCGCACACCGGAGTCCTCCCTCTTCAAAGGCTTAGTCCTGAAACTGAGCGTTTCCGTGATCTTGACGCGATGTTACGTGGTGCCCCCCCCCCCCCCCCGAGCCACATTGCGCCCTGATATCTTCCAAGCGACATAGGGTTTGATTTAATTGCGGACTTGTTTGCTTTTCGCCCACTGGATCTCGAGCAAGCCTTCAATTCGTAGGTTCACAATGTTTGTTGAAATGATGCAGTGCATTTTGTA